AATGTAAAATTTTGCAAGAAAATTTTTTTATTAAGACACCAAAGACGGTTTCATAAGCAAAATTTTGAGTTATTAGCGGTTTTTGGAAAAACGAACGTTTGTTTTGAATTTTCCTGATCGTGCTACGTTACACCTGATCTTACAATATTATTGGACCAAGATCACGTGATCGCGCTCTTTTTCGCCACCACTAAGCTACTTGAATATGATATGATGTAATTGGTTGATAAACAATAATTCTGATTGGCCAAAATCATTTACCTTGTCCACGTGAAATTTTAACATTTTCTCAAAAAATATTGATTAATAATACTTCGTAACATGCAGTCAGGTATTTTACGCGATATAGAAATGATCTGCAATATACTAAAGGTTTATTCTAAAACTGATTCTATTTAAAAAAAATTTTTTATTATCTAAAAATAACAATCAGTTTTAAAAAAACCTTTAAAATTTTCTTGCAAAAGTTATTCTATGAATATGTAGTCTAGGGATCCCTGAGGCTTTAAAAAAGAATTTTTCAATTGAAGATCTTTTACCAAAAAAAGAAATGATCTGCGTTACACGAATTTGAAAAATCCCTGACTGACATGCCAAATTTAAGTTTTAAAAACCGAATTGTCTGAATTTTACAACCGGATTAAGATATTATAAAACGATTTACAGCTGTTCTCATAAATTCCGGGACAACTGAAAATTTATAATAACCGAATTCGATAAGTTTCTGAGTTCGGCCGAAGCCAGTTACCTATTGATAACATCAAAAATTTTTCAGTTGTCCCAGAATTTATGAGAACAGCTATAATATTAAATCGGGTTAACCCGAATTTATACCCAAATTTTATTAACCGGTTCCGACCTCTACAGCAGATCATGCGTATGCGGTAAGGTCAAATCACTGACGGTCTATTGACGGTCCCGAAGGTCTATATCATATATAGCAAGATTCTGATTCACAGACCTACTGGGGTAGCTTAAATAAAACGAAATTCATAAATAAACATATCAGCAATCAATCCGGACATGTCAATCTGTGATTGAGCCTGATACAATACTTTAATTAAAAGGCCGGGTAATTAAGTAAAACAAAAGTGACAATAGCATTCAAATTGGATCGAATTATAGGTATTTCGGTAATACGATATATTATATAAAGTGGATTTTATAAATCATTTATTTTTTATAAATCAACATTTATTTGTGATAAATGCAATTAACCCAGAATAGAACTATTAATAGATCACATGATAAGGACATGCCTTTTGGTCAAAAGGCATGTTCCTAGACCTTGTGCCCAATACTAATAGGTGGGAAGTTTAAGAGGTTTAGTTTCGAGCTTTGATTTTTTGGGTGTTGACATACATGATGGGATTTCATGCGTATTTCGAGGTCGTTTCGTTATTCCTGCTTTGATAAATTTTTCGGATACCTGTGTACTTGACTGCACAGGCTTGGATTGAACTGTCTTGATTGTTTCTCTAACAATAGCCTGAAATTGAATATAAAAATTGATATAACATCGGAATAGGAGATTAGATTAAAACTAATAATGATGGTACCTTGATATTTATAACCGCTGCTAACATTTGTAATATGTCAGAAAAATTTTCTTCAACGTAAGGCACTTCCATTAAGTCTCCGCGTCGGATGCGGCACACATAGCCTCTGGGATTATCGAGAAAAATTGGCATCATCATCGTCCCTTTAAATTTTATTCGATAGTAAACATTTTGATCTTTGTTACACAATTACTCCGAATTACTTACCAGCATGAATTATCCCGACGGTTTGTAGCTTTTTGCACAGCTCTCTATCCCAGTTTACTTTTTTCATAAGCTTTAATAGCATGTCTTTTAAGCATTTTGGGGACTTAACACATGTTTCCTTTAGAAATTTCGTCCCATGGTCGTCGACTTTCCCGATTCTCCAATACCGTATTCGTCACGTTCACCGCTTCCATCCCGCCTTAAAATCCAATCACCTTTGTGTCCATACATTCGTCGTTTGTTCGCACTCTCCCTATGTGCATTCTTCCGCCCAGAATTCGCAGTGCTTACACTTTCACCTCTTGATAAATTACAACCGCAAGAAAAATAAATTTAAAACACAATGACTAATAGTTAAAGCATGAATATATGTATGATTCTATACCTAACAACAGATGCCTCTTCTATATCCGCAAATCCTTGATCAACAATGATATTCCATATATGACAGTTGTACCACGCCTCCAAATTCTGGCTTTTTAATCCTCCATTTTCAATTTCCCTAACTCTAAAACAATTTTTGAAACATTTTATTTAGTATAAAGAAATTCAAATATATTACAACTTCCTAATGTTGGCCGATGACCTAAGTCATACCATTTGTTTTTTTGATGTGACCCTTGTCCTACATGTATCACCTGATTTTTAGTCAAGAAACTTTTTTACTATGTTTCTTACTTTATTAAAGGGCCATAAGGGTCATTTAAGATCATCGGCAACTTACAGTGCATATAGAGCAAATCTAATATAATCTAGATCGTGATAAACGTCTTGATTGTATTCCACATCAAACCTTTCGTCATACTCGTTAATTGCTTTACGTATTTCCTTTAACGTTTTCTGTTAAGGAGTTTATTCAATGTAAGTATATATGCGGGTATTAACTATAGAATAGCATAGAAAATATTACCTTATCATAAAATTTAAGAAGATAATTAATAATATCTTGGGATAACTGTGGTACTTCAGGTGCATGTTCGTTCTCTATTTCTAGAAGCTCTGCTTCACTAAAATGCTGTTTCATTAACTCATCATCCACGTCCACAATAAAGGAATGGATACCACTAGGAATGTAGTTCTACAATTAGTATTTTTCTTAATAATAAATAATGCAAATAAAATCTCGGCTTACTGTTCAAATTCCTGACCATGGTTTGTACAATTCCTCTTCAACCAGTTTACCACTTGCCCTCAACCTCCACATGTTTTCCTTCTTCATTGATAAAAAGGCAACATCAATTTCTCTACGGTTTGCAATGCTCAAACGCCAGGGTCCCTTCTATTAGTTTCTTTATTAGCTTTCGCAAATATGATTAAAATCGGAAACATTAACGAATAATTGGTTCTACCACAAAATCCCGACACCCAAAATCTCGAAAACCATAATCGCGACGTGACAATTAATATTCAAAGATTAGTAATCACATTAACAAACATTGTAAGACTTTAAATTTTTAATTATCACATTGCGTGATACCAGTATTATCGCCTGTCAAGATTTTGGATGTCGGTAGAACCCGAATAATTATACCTTATTCTCTTTAAAATTCCCTTCAGTCATTAAAAGTCTATCAATGAAAGGATTTTCTTCCCTGCCTTCCTGTAAACATTCCTCTTCTTCGTGTGTGCCTTCTTCCTCATCTTCCCGTGGATCTGGTGAATAATATCTAGATTGCCTTGCAGGTGTATAGAATTCAACGTTGGTGGTTGTTTGTACTGAGTCACATGAAAATTCATTCTATTAAATGTGAACTTGGAAATGTAAACAATGATAATACTTTCTTAAATGATAGGAATATGCCTAGTATTCCTTATTAGCTTTTGACAAAATATTCAGTGACGTTAAAAAATTTATACTTGGCTATTTTTCGTTATGAAATCTTGAGACTCCTGCGTCCTTTCCGGACTATATTTATCTTCTAGCACGTTTTGTAGTGTTTTTATTGCATTGTTAGTTGTTATTGTACGCACTTTGTTCTTTTCGTTATTAGTCTCTTCTAACAGTTGTTTGGTATAATTCAACTATTTCATACGGTAAAGTACATAAATTTTTTGCTAATATAAAAACCTTTATAGATAATAGCTTAAAAAACCTGTATATTTTGGATTTCACAATTATGACGTTCTTTATCATTTGATATCCAGAAATCTTTCACACCTTCGCTAGATTTCTCATTCTTTTTATAAAAAGAAAGAAGCAATTAATATAGAGCTAGATATAAACTTTTTATTAAAAAAATCAAATTATTTGCTAGTAACATGAATGGACCATAACACGGCGTGTAACCTGACAACCAGTTAGTGCGTAACCATCCAGTTGCGTTATGGCACTAACGTCAAAGTCTATTCAAGAGCGCTCGAGAGAAAGCGTATTCCGTTATCACCAGCCAATGCGTAATCAGCCAGCTACTCGAGGTTTGTCAATATGTCACGTAGTTGTCCCGGGACCGGAACATATTCTAGCCCTTGAACCCATTCACGTTGAAAATATAAAATATACTTAACTTCGAAATAAAAAAGTTTTATTCGAGCTTGTTCATAATCTTTAGACAAAAACTCCAACGTTTTCTTGTACAAGTAATGCTCCTTTGCTTTATCATTCGTGAAGTAATCTGTCTTTTTTCTATACTGTAGAAAGTTAAGTAGTGATAATTCCTGGTTGTTATTAATGAGATCTTGTGCCGCTTCTTGAATTTGTAATAATTGACTCGACATCGTGGTGGAGCACAGCAGGAGAAATATACACGGGTTTGATTATGAGCAGGTATCAGAGATATGGGCGATGGACTAGGAAAACCCGTCTTCGACACTTTTTTATCAATTTCGAGATTTTTGATTCAAAACAAAGTGCCAGTTTCTGTTTATACGTATTTCACTTTTCACCCTACATTGAGATAATAATTTATAATTTATCGAGATATTTTCAACGTATGTGTTCTAAAAATAGATCAACAGCAAAAAATTGACGGCTCAATTAAATTAGATTGGTCAATCAATGTTTTATAATCACATGATGTTGTTTATTCAGTAATTCAGTTAGGGATTTTGCCAAATATGGGGGTCGTCTAAAGCGGAGGCACATCATGTGATCAACAGCCAATCAAATGATAGAATTTTGATGATCGCCAGC